CTATCTACTGGGGCTTTGGGGAAAAAAAAGGAGGAGGATTGGCAATAGATGTTAGCTCAGAGCCGGTCTTCCTCAGCAAAAAGAGGAGGATTGGCATGGATGTTAGCTCAGGGCTGATCTTCCTCACACACAAAAAAAAACCCACTGTGAAAAGTGCTTTGGGAGATAGGGACTGCTTCCTTGAGGGGATTGCGTATCAGTTATATCCTACACATTCCTCAAGTGAGGTGGAGCTAAGGGTTTCAGACAGAGGGAGTAGGATTCATAACGGCCCAGAGACAAGAGAAAGAACATGGTGGGTTCTGGGAGGTCCCAGTCCAGTATGGCTAGAGCACTGAGTGAGGAAGGGGTTAGGGATAATGAGAGAAAAGGACTGAGATGCAGTAGGGGTGGAACTGGGAGGATAAGTGGGTGTGTCCAGATCATCAAGATTTATACGCAAGGATGTGGATACCATCTGGAAATTAGTGGGGTCCTCAGAAGGAATTTAAGCAGCACATTGACATGAGGCATGGAGCTTTAGAAGCTCACTCAAGCTGTGGTATGCAGATTGATGAGAAAAGGCATGGAAACCAGTTAAATGGCTATTGTAGTAATGCACTGGACTCTGATATCCTGTCCTCCCATTTAAAAAACCTACAGGTATACAATAAAGGGCAGAAAAAAATATTATTGAACAAAATATTGTGCTGAATTGGATACACTTGAAATGCTAATTGTTATCTGTACCATCAGTATTGGCAACATAGAAACAATTGAAATATTAAGGACATTTAAGAATTGCTTTGAATATGGAAATTTCACTTTTTTATATATATCAAGTTAGGCCATAATAAATTACTGCTTTTAATCTTTAAACAGTTGCAGTTCAGTTAATAAAATATGAAGAAACTTCCTCACTTGTGTGTGTTTATCAAACCATAGAATACATATTATGAAAATTTGTTAAATGCTATGATTATGAGATCAAATAACAGGCAGAATTTCAAAGTGGCTTAATTTTTTGTTTAGTTTACTTGAAAGGAAAAAACTTTAAGACTTCATTAACTGAATTTTACATTTTGTAACTGATATGCCTTTTTAGAAAAAAAAGTAGCTGAAATCTTTATTATATGTCTCTATTTTTTGTTTTTTGAAGAGTTAACTATTATTTCAGATCATGTGTCTATACAAGGAACTTTGTTAGGCTTTAAAAATAGAGCCCTTATTTTGAATCTTGTAGAGGGAGTGTGTTTTTATCATATTAATTTCAAAGTAGGAAGGAACAAATGTGACAAACCTGTGTTCTTGGATAGTTTGGAAAGAAGGAAAGTGTGGTCCATTTTATGTATTATTTTCCTATCTGCAGTTGGGACTCTCACCATGGGTCTGCATCTTTTTCTTCACAGAAGAAACAGCTTTCATAGCTGGGTTTATGTCTATCCTGGAGTCTTGATCCTATTCAGTTGTACTTTTGCTAGTAGTTTCAGAGCAAGAATATAAGATAAAAGAAGCAGATAAGATGCTGTGGCTTTTAGAACCAGTCTCCTTCAGAGCAATTTATACCCTGAAACATGAATTGAGTTTAACTGAAAGCAAACATAAACATCAAGAATCAATTAACTGGCTCAAGATAATTTTAGTATATTTATGTTTTAAGTTTCTTTTTAGCAGAGTTTTTATTTATGGGGTACAGCAATGATCGTGGTGAAGTGGAGAGAGCCCAGGCTTGATATTTACCCAGACCTTAGGAGTATCCTTAGTTTACCCTCTGGTTTTCAATTCCTCCATCTGCACAGTAGGATAAGAACATATGCCCTGCAAGGTTTGTGAGGGTTAATGCCTGTGAAGAACTCAGCCCAGTGACTGGCACATATTAGGCTCTCTGGACATGGCAGCTATTATAGTTATTATTTTCTTAGTTTTATGATAAGAGAAAAGAGGAAAGTAAGAATGATCAGGTTCCTATTGGCCTAAAAAGATGGCCTTTGAAAGCAAGACTAGTGGAAAAAAAAGTTCTTGTATACCACTATGATTCTTTTAAATATTCCAAAGCTGAACTAAAGAGTACCATATTTGATAAAGTTAACAATTCCTTTGAAATGTCTGATTTCCACAAATAAAAGGTTTTTTTCTTTTAAATAATTTGGAACAATGTGTACTCTCCTGGACTGTATGTTGATTTTCATTCAGAAGCTTGATGAAATAGGTAGACAGAGTCTTTAATATTAAAAGCAAGTACATTTGTTATACTGTAAGAGGCAAATTTTATAAACCTCCGTTCACATATGTTTGTACATATAGAAGTCAATACTCCTAAAATTTAATTAACTAAGGAAATTACTAGATGTACATTGCTCACAAGCACTCATACATTCATTTGTACATTCTATAACAGACTGATAGTAATTGTAAAAAAATATTAGTTGAAATTGTAATTTTCAAAGAACAATACTCTGTTGCAAGTTACTCTCTACTTTGTGGAATGTGATAAATTGTGGGGATGGTATTTCATGCTTCGGAAATCAGGCTCATCTTCATTCTCAATAAGTTCTCTCAGAGACAGTATATTTATAAAAAACAACATATTCTGAAATTTGGTGGCAATTCTATTTTTTTAACTAACTGAAACTTTTCGAATCAATAATATTGGTTCTCACTTTCAGCCAGAAGAGATCTCTTTTTCTTCTGAACAAAACAGTGCTGTGTGCATCTATATAAATGTAGATACTGCCTCCCACATACTTATTGGGGCATATATAGAGCCTCCTTAATTAGAATCTAAGTACTTGAGGTAAAGACTACGTCTCATATATGCTCAGTGAGACATTGGCTGGCACGTGGCCTCCTTTGAATATTTTTATTTTTGAATAAAGATAGAAAGCCAATAGAATATAAATATATTGAGTAACCTGGATTCTTTTTTTTTTTTTTTTTTTGAGGAAGATCAGTCCTGAGCTAACATCCATGCCAATCCTCCTCTTTTTGCTGAGGAAGACCGGCCCTGAGCTAACATCTATTGCCAATCCTCCTCCTTTTTTTTTTCCCTTTTTCTCCCCAAAGCCCCAGTGGATAGTTGTATGTCATAGTTGCACATCCTTCTAGTTGCTGTATGTGGGACGCCACCTCAACATGGCCGGAGAAGCGGTGCGCCGGTGCGCGCCAGGATCTGAACCGGGGCCGCCAGTAGCCAAGCGCGCGCACTTAACAGCTCAGCCACGGGGCCGACCCCCAGTAACCTGGATTCTAATGTCTGTTTTTATAGCAATGCTTAACAACACATGATTCATATTTTGACTTGCTTAGTGAATTAAATAGATATTTAGTTGTAACCAGGGAATTTGAGGGTCTAAAAAAATCAATTTTGTCCTTTTATGTCTGGTTTATTTTATGTAGTGTAATGTTTTGAAAGTCATCCACATCACAGTGTGTATCAGAAGTCTATTCCTATTTATGACTGAATAATATTCCATTGTATGTATATACCACATTTTTTTAATCTATTCATGTATTGATGGAAACTTGAGTTGTTTTCACCTTTGGGCTGTTGTGAAGAATGCTGCAATGAATATTGGTATACAGCTGTCCGATCAAGTTCCAGCTTTCAGTTCTTTTGGGTATATATCTGGGGGAATGGAATTGCTTGGTCTTGTGGTACTTCTATGTTTAGCATTTTGAAGAATATTGTATGATTCTAACAGACAGAAAGTAGGTTAGAAGTTACCAAGGCCTTGGCAGAGGAGGAGAATGGGGACTTATTATTAATGGTTACAGAGGTTCTGTTTGGGCTGATTAAAAAGTTTGGAAACAGTGGTGATGGTTACAAAACATTGCAAATGTAATTATGCAATTAAATTGTATACTTTAAAATGGTTAAATTGGCAAGTTTTTATGTTAGATACATCTTACTAAAATTTAAAAATCTTATAATATACTAAAAAACGTTGAATTGTACACTTTAAATGGGTGAATTGCATGGTATGTGAATTATATTCCAATAAAGCTGTTTAAAACATCAAGTTTATCCAAAGGGATCATACTTGCAAAGGGGAAGTTGAAGATTCCAAAGTTATTTTGTATTGACCACTTCACAGTAGCAGGAAGTGGTTAGAATGGATTGGATTTGGGAAATTTATGCTTCTGCCAACAAATATCCCTGTGTTAGATACTCTAAGTCTACAAAAAAGGGGAAGAAAAGACAATTACTTGTCTCCAGGGACTTTCAATCTAAATCATCTTGAAACATGAAGAAATGTCCATGGAGTTACTCTGGTAAATTCAGAGGGGAAAATTCAGCAAATTATATATAGATACATACACTCATGCACACATATGCAGATACATACAAATTCATACACATGTATGCTTTCTGGATAACTAACATAGGAAAGCACTCCAAACAAGGACATTTTATTTTGTTACCTATTCTTTTTAACATCTTTCAATTTCTCTTTGTGTATACAGAATGGCTTAGTCACTGCACATTTTACAGTATTTATGTATAACGTTTATTGCAAATTTGAATCTTCAAAATCATCTTTATTTAGATTATGGATAGTAAATCTATTAGAAATTAATGGATTATGTACAGATGCTGGCTTTCACTTTAATTCCAAATAATGCCATTACTTGCAATGATGAAAGATTTTATAAATTGTAATTGATGCATCAGAATGTTTGTAAATTCATATATACGGTACATTATATTCCAAATATACATATACACACACTCACACACAGGTATATGTATATATACATACGCAAACTATATATATATGCAAATCTTCAGTTTTGCTTTTCCATAAATTGTTTCCAGATTTTTAGGTATTTTTGTATATGACAATGTTGTTATGGTTTATATATCTCTGTGCTGTCTCCTACCCAAATGTTAGAGAAGCATGGCAAGTGATAAATAGATTTGAGAAGTGGAGCAATAAACTATTTCCTCTGTTAAAAATACTCATATCTATATTAGATTATTTGTTCAATTATGTTTTTCTTATTTTTTACTTATTTTTCAGCTGCTCCAGTTGATGTACTAAAAGCTCTAGATTTTCACAATTCTCCAGAGGGGATATCAAAAACAACGGGCTTTTGCACAAACAGGAAGAATTCACAAGGTTCAGATACTGCTTACAGAGTTTCAAAGCAAGCACAACTCAGTGCCCCAACAAAACAGTTATTTTCAGGTATGTTCACTTTATTACTACAACTACTAGTACTCCAAAGACTTTACTCACTATTATTTCCTTTTATCATGATATATAATGTACAATTATGGGGGGAAATAAAATTGTTTAATATATCAGAAACCAAATACATTGTGGTCCCCAGGGTGACCTAATGAAAATAACTAGTGATCTAATAATTACCAATCTTAATTCAACACAATCACATAAGATAGACTTATTTGAAAATTTAATACTTTCTTCTTTTATTTCAAGATGACAAATCTTGAAGACAACATTACGTGTAGTTCATGCTTGCATATAATCATGTAGAATTTATTTATTGGAGGAACATGGCAACTTTACCCTTAAGGACTACCCAGGTTGATTTAATGGGCATGTGGATTTAGATATGCTTAATGAATGTCTTCCTAAAATTAATGTGAATTTCTATTGAAAGAAATACTTCTTCAGTTGATGTTATAAAACAAATTATTCTGTATTATTTCTGGATCTTGTTCTTATCTCAAATATAATAAAAACCAGTCATATCTCATAGTCATTGGGAAATCTGGGACTAGAGATTTTGTAAGTCTTCACCTGATGTTATTGAAAAATACTTGGTGAATTTTTTTTTTCATTCCGTGAAAGCACTAATTGACCTACTAACACTAATTATCTAGAAATCATGGTAATGTAGGGAAAGGGAGTTGAGTGGTGAAATGACGATCTCTGAGCATCACATTTTCTAAGCAGGTAACTCCTTACAAGTCCTTGACTGCTATTGGACACATGTCAATTATTCTTCCTTATGACTTTACTAAGTTGAGTGTCCTCATCCTTACTTAACAGAAGAGAAACTGAGTTCCACTGAGGTTCTCAGACTTGTCCAAATTACTTGGGGTCAATATTTAATCCAGGTCACGTCTGTTGCAAGGCCAATATTTTCTATATTATCAAATGTTCCTTTTTGGTGCTTTGGGATCTTTTTAGAAGCAATTTGTCATTTAAATTCTTCATATTGTCCCATACTGTCTCCACCTAAAGGAATGTAAATACCCTATCTTCACATAAGCTGTTTTCTAACAATGGAAAAGTTATAAATCAAGGGACTAAAAAATTACGCAACAAGTAATATATCTCTCCCGGAAGGACATTTTAAAATATTTTTGAAAAGACATTTATTTTGATCATTCATCGGTTCTTCCAAAATATTTCCTGTTTTGCAATAATTTGTGGTGGACAAAAGTGACAAACTGTAAGTATAAAAAAAAGTCAATGCGCAGTTTTTCTGACTTTGAAACTAAAAAAGTAAAATAGTTATTAAATCCATAAAATATTTTTTAAATCAAATTTAAAAGCTTTAAATAGTAAAACTCTAAGTTGTTTTTCTGTTTATTTGCACTCTTGTGTGAAAATAAGAAAGAGATGAGAATTTTTAAGAGAGAAAAACAGAGAAAAATAGATTAATGAAAAAGCTTTAGAAGCTGGTTTCTAATTTTTTATACTTTGGCTCATCATCTTAGGGTGTTTTTCTGCCTTCCAATGTAGTAGCTAGTTAATTTGATTAATTTGATCATTTCGGTTGTTTTGCTCACAGAAAAAGAGTACAATGTATGCTTCTAAGATGTCCTCCCACAGTGGTTAGAATTCATTGATATCAAAGTTTTTTTTCCTTCTCACAACATTGTGTCTTAAGCATATGATTCTAATGAGTATTTCAGAGAGGAAGAGACATCTGTGATAGAGACCTCATTTTTCCCCACGCAAATGATTATAATCTTGCCTTCCTAGAGAGCAGAACTTTCTGTCAAATAATGCAAAATGAAAATTAATAAAAATTACCAATGACACATTCACCATTAAAAAAATCTAAACAGTGTATATGTGAATATTATTCTTTATAAAATAAATAAAAAAGATCTTTGAAAAATTATTTGGAATGCCTTTTCTTGCATTATGGGAAGACATAATACTTTTTTCTAATGAATAAAGTAAGCAGTAGTATCAGAAACTTCAACATTGGGGTGGGGGTGGGGGTGGGGGTGTTGTCAGATAGTCATTGTAATATTCTGGTAGACTTAAGATATACGTCTTCCAAAGTCCTAGTCCTAGGTCCTTAATTTAAATGTCTGAGAGCTTTCTGCATGTGAACTGAATAGAAGCTGTAATTTGCAAATTCTATCTGCCCTCTTTAGAATACCTGCTGTGGGACAGATACTATGCAAGAAACTATCTTGCATGTACTATGCAAGAAACTTTGTGTATATTGATCTTTAGCTTCATAACCATTTGGAAGGGGAATATTTAAACCCAAGTTATGGATTAGGAGTTTGAAGTGTGAATTATTTGAATATAATCACAGAACCAGTGAATGATGTGAAGCTGAGAGACAGTCCTTGTCTCTATTAGACTAAAGTGGGTTTTGCCCACTATACAAAATTGTCTTTGCTATCTAGTTTAAAAATCCTACTGACCACTAAACTACATCAGAAAGAGATTTTAGTTAAAGAGAGACATATTCTGCATGAAAAATATTAACCAAAATTTAAAAAATTAAAATCAAATAATAAAATTATTGTGACTTTTTTATATCAAATTTATTCATAGATGCAATATCTATTGATGTTAAAAGCCCATTTTAAGAATCATTATTCAATCTGATATACTTAGAGTGAATTATGGTTATTACATATATATGACTTATATATATGATTTATGTATAACACATATCTAAGGTAGTATAGCAGTTTTTCTTTAACAATAGTCATTTAACAGAGTATACTTTATCCTTAGTTTGTATTTATAATTTCAAAACATTTATTAAGTTGAAAAATTCCAGATTTTATCTATCTATCTATCTATCTATCTATCTATCTATCTATCTATCTATCTATCTGTCTATCTATATACTGATCACTGCTATTTCAGACAAAATTTCACATATGAAATGGTTGCATTTCTGTTGAACTAATATCATAGCGAATTCTCTCTGATACATTCAATCAGTTATGAACAACTTTGATTAGCATCTTATAAACAGGAAACTAAGGTGGGGTCCTTAGGTTAGACTGTGAACATTTTGACATCACAGTGATTATTTAGATAACTAAATTTCCTTTTTTAAAGGTCATAGCTTAAAGACTATAATTAATATCTTATTGCTTAATTTTAAATTTGGAAATAATACTTCCATTGAAAGAAAATCAAAAGATTTTACTCATTAGTGTATCTTGAAAGTTGACAATTTTCAAAAGTTGTGCCATACAAATTGGATGATTAACTAAAATTTGTTATAATTTATTTAGTCTTATATAAAATAGTTTTTCCTGAAATTATTCCTTTCCTAAATGTCCCTATGTAAATATTATTTTATAATTTTTTGCAAAACTGATAGCTCATAATATTTTAGCAGCATTTTTTTTCGATATACAAGATATTTAAGAAATTGAGGGAAGGAATTCCTATGGTTCTCAACATTCTGAGCTACTCAATTGAAGAAAAGTTTATTTGCTATGTAGCTTCTTAAGTAATAGGCTGAATTACCTGCATTTTTTATTTATAGTATAAGCAGGTAGAAAGTGTTTTGTTAGTTGATGTGCTTTATTACAGTTCCATTTTATTTCCATGGTTATTTTTCTTCTGTTGATTTTCGTAATTATAAAATGTGATGTCTCTGTGACACAAATCCAATGAAACAAAACTATATATATATTCTTTTTTTTTTTTTTGCTGTGATAGCAAAGCTTTTATGACCTACTTGTGATATAGCAAAGTTGTCTTGGTAAATTATTTGAAAAATTAAAATTGAAAAATTTAACAGAAACACTTTTTAGTTTGGAGCTATATATATATATATATATATATATATATATATATAACATGATTAGAACTGAGTACTTAATATTAATTGACTACTTTCTTTGTGACATGCTCTTATTTAATTTTGACAACACTTTAAATAATTTCCATTTCATAAAAGGTCTTTCCACTACATTATTTTAAGTGACTGCATAGGATTCCACTGTATAGATGTTTTGTATTTTATTTAACTGGTCCCAACCCTTGCAGGCTATTTTAACATTTATGATTATAAATAGTGTTCTGATGAATTGACTTATAATATCTACACGTAAGCATCCCTCCTACCCTGAAAAATTCTTAGAAGTGGAATTGTTGGTCTCCCATAATCTTTTGAGTTTGAATCCATGACATAGTCATATTCATAATACTTTTATTTTTTATACTATTGTGTATAATAGAATTTGGAATGAATGGGTTGAATATGGAAGCTCTTGGCCCAGATATCATGATTACACATTGGCCCAGGTATCATTGATACACGTTGATTACACATGCACATATACACCAGTTTTGCCAATGGACAACTTTTTAATTGAAATAATCTTACCCTTAAAATAATAATGCCTGCTTTACTTATGTCTCATGGTAGTAAAAGGATCAAATATGATATATATGTAAAACTATTTTTGAAAAATAAAACCCACAATTTAACATGCAGTGTTTCTATAAAAATAAGTAGTTATTGCTTAGCTGTCTGAGATATATTTATGGTAATCATTTAACTGATATAATTATTTAATAAGTGCTTACTAATCACGTATGTAGATCTGGCCTCATGCTGGATATTTGAGTTATGATGGTGAGAAGGAAAAGAAAAGAAAAGACAGTCTGCCTTCTTGAATTTAGAATCAAATTAACCAAGTACTTAATAGTTCTGATTTATAATGACATAGCTTTTTATTAGTGAAACTGATGTATGTGTGATAGGAATGTATGATGTACGATGCTTTCTATGATAGGAAAAACCAATCAGAAACTCTTTAGCTTTTGAAGGGATGACTGAAAGAATACCTTCATATATTTGCCCTTACAATGCCTCTTTAAAGAGAGGCTATACAGCCACAGATTAGACAAAGGCAGAAAATATAAATCTTACACCAAAAGTGGTACTTAATAAGCGTTTTAAAAGTGCTTACTGTGTGTTTGATATCCTACTGACCCCATGATTTTGTTTCCTAGCTTCAAATTGAATTTCACATAATCATTGTGCTTTGAATGAGTGGCTTTAAAGTTTGAATATACCTTGGACAATTATTGCAGAGAAAGCTTAACAGAGTCCTCTTCTCATTTGTTTTTTAAGCTGTATTGTTGTTACTTTGAACTTAGGTGACTTACTAAGGCCACATAGAAAGTTCAAAAATAGTAGGGTGATCCAGGAATAATTTAGAAATTTGGAATTTCTGACCCTTTGGCTTTCTTTTCTCAGGAGGAACTTTCCCAGAAGATTTTTCAATATTATTTACAGTAAAACCCAAAAAAGGAATTCAGTCTTTTCTTTTATCTATATATAATGAGCACGGTATTCAGCAAGTCGGTGTTGAGGTTGGGAGGTCACCTGTTTTCCTGTTTGAAGACCACACTGGGAAACCCGCCCCAGAAGACTATCCCCTCTTCAGAACTGTTAACATTGCTGATGGGAAGTAAGTAACACAATAATCCGATGTTTTAACTATGTTGAAAGCAGTTCTTTCATTTGATCATTCAACAAATATTTATCAAGTAGTTTTTCTAGGGACTGGTGATATAGAAATGAACAAAACAATAAAATATCTATTCTTACATAATTTACTTTACAGTCTAGGTAGACAAATGATGAACAATAAAAAAACAAATTACTAATAAATGGTATATCAGGTGGTGATAAGTGAGAGAGAGAAATAGACCTGTGAAGAGTATTGGAAATGGTGGTGGAGGGTGCAGTTTTAAGGAGTGAGATCAGGGAGAATCTCACTAAAAAGGTGACATGTGAAGGATGTGGGATGCATGCCGTGCTGATAATTAAAAGCATACTATCCCAGTAGGAAAGGAAGCAGATACAAAGCCTCTGATCCCATTGGTCTGAGCAATGTCAAGGATGGCAGCGTAGCAGGAGTAGAATGGGATGGGGAGGCTGGAGAAGTAATGGGAGGCCAAATGGTGCAGCACATTGTAGGCGATTATAAGCACTTTGGGTTCTATTCTGAGTGAAATGAGAAGTCACTGTAGACTTTTTGAGCAGAGGAATGACCTGGTTTGACTTACCTTTTACCAATCATATTAACGTATATCAATTAATATTGATGATCATAGGAAACCTTATATAATACTATACTTCATATGTGCTGTATGCCATTCTAAACACTTTATACATAGTTGAATCACTTAATTTTTCACAACTCTTTGAAGAATGTAACATCAATAACTGTTTTATAGATAAGGCAACTGAGGCACAGAGAGTTTAGGTAACTTGCCTGAGGTCGTATATTTGGCCGAGATAGGGTTTGAACTCAGGTAGTCAGACTTTCCAGTAACCACCACATTCTTCTGAAAATCATGCTGAATTCTGAATTCTGTGTTGTGAACATTGCCTTTCACTTAGGAAGCAGCTAAATACAAATAAGTGATTATTAAATTTACTTGGTATTTTATTGCTGAATCTAGGCTTCTAAAAATAGATTTATCTGAAATATGACATTTGGTTATAAGACATAAGAAGGAAATAACAGTGCAAATAGGAAAAAAAATACACGCTCTCTTTGTCAGGACCATGGAGAAAGCTTTAAGTCTCAGTGTCAGAAAAAACTAGGCTTTCATGAGTAATTTACATTATTACCCTTAATACTTAACATGAAAAGTGATGATAGTTCTATAAATGAAAATAAATCAAGGTGAGGAGTGTAGGAGGTACTGTTTTAGATGGAGCCGTCCTCTTTGATATGGTTGCATTGAGCAAAGACATGTTGGAAGTGAGAGAGTGAGCCATGTGGGGATATGGAAGAAGAGCATTCCTGGCAGAGTGAAGAACATGAGCAAGGAACAACAAAGAGGCAGCAGTGTGGCTGGAGTGCAGGGAGTCAGAAAGCAAAATGTTGGGCATGAGGTCAGAGAGGACCGAGGGACACTCTTGTGAGGCAGTGTAAGGACATCAGCTTTTATTGGGAGTATTAGATGGTTTTTAGTAAGCCTGAGGCTTGATCTAGCTTATATTTTAAGATGATCACTCTATTGCATCAGAGTGGAAGCAGAGACCGGTTAGGAGTCTAGGAGAGAGAGATGGCAGCTTAGACAAAGTTGAGACACACTGGATTCTGCATATGCTTGGAATATAAGGATTGACGGGAGGGGCCGGCCCCATGGCTTAGCGGTTAAGTGCGCGCGCTCCGCTACTTGCAGCCCGGGTTTGGATCCCAGGCACGCACTGACGCACTGCTTGTCGGGCCATGCTGAGGAGGCATCCCACATACAGCAACTAGAAGGATGTGCAACTATAACATACGACTATCTACTGGGGCTTTGGGGAAAAAAAAAGGAGGAGGATTGGCAATAGATCTTAGCTCAATGCTGGTTTTCCTCAGCAAAAAGAGGAGGATTGGCATGGATATTAACTCAGGGCTGATCTTCCTCACAAAAAAACACAAAAACAAAAGAATTGATGGGATTTTCTGATGATGTGAATGTGTAGGATGAGAGAAAGAGAATAATTTAGAATGACTCCAAAACTAAGGGTTAATTTAGTATTTTGAATATTGTGTGTGATACCATGATAATGACATCATTATTCTCAAAGCTTAAATTAATTAAAAAAAAAATACCAAGTTTAGAGTCCTAATCAGCTTTTAACAATTGAAATCATTTTATTTTCTGTTAATGAAAAGTACATACCCACAATAGTGGAGATGGTTTAAGTTAGGACACATGCTTCTTGGCAGAAATATGTGTAAATTTTACTCTCACAGTATTAAGAGGCTCCTAATATTAATCTTTGCTCAGTTCAAACCAAGCAGATGCTTATACTAGTTGAATGTGCCATGGAAAGACCAAAGATTAAGTGTATATGGAAATACACTTGGTCCTCGTCAGTAGCCATGCCAAGTCACATGAAATAGACATTGTAGGAAAGCTCCTGAAACTTTTTAGGTACTTTATTTTATGAATCTAGTCCTAGATGCTTCTGCAATATTAATCTAGCACTTTTCATTTGGAAAATAAAATAAAATATAAACCAGAGTGGCTTGCAAAATCCAAGTGAGTTTCACTTAGTGGTTTATGTTAGCACCAGATACTGTTAATAAACCCCACCACTTTACAGTATGATTAGAGTATGTATGTTTCCAAAGGACTGGCCAAGTCTCCCCCCTAGGCTTGTCATCACTATGCTGAATTAGCTGGAGAAGTAGCTTCAGAGAGAATCGAGACTCTCACTCCACATATGCGTTGACTATGTTTTCTTTCAGTGTTCCCACTTCCTGCCAACCCTGGAAAGAAGGAGAGATATTGTGTCTCATCTTGGATCCTGCCCACAGTAGTGATCTATAACTGTCTTGAAATTAAAGTGGAAAAAGAAAAGGAAAGCACTTGAAATAAATGTGAATAAAGACAGAGAAGCACATTGTGTTTTACAATTAGAACGTTCTGTTGCTCCAGATGGGGCAGTCATTCAATTAGTAGACACACCCTTTTACAGTCAATCTCGGGGGATCTCTAAAGCAGAATTTTTTTTTAAGTGGAATTCCACTTTGGAAGAAAGCATTTGCGTACATAGAAACTCTTACTTACCCCATATCCCACCCCTGATCTCTATCAAATACCCTCATCAGGACATGGAGAGATTAAGCATTTGTTACAACAACACAAAGTAAGGAAAGGATGGGCACTTCCTTATCAGCGTGGACAGCCAATCCTGCTGTGCATCTTACACTGCTTGTGTCCTTTTGAGTACCTAGCACTGTTCTGGGTAAACAGTAAGTAGTCACCTGTTAACTGATTGATTAATAAATGAACCTACATTTTGCACAATTTCAGTTCACTTTTACAGTTCAAAATACATTACACTTTAACGTGAATAATGGTTTGGCAACAATGTCTTTGACGTTTACAAAGGAATTATTTGGCTTTCTTAGGTGGCATCGGGTAGCAATCAGCGTGGAAAAGAAAACTGTGACAATGATTGTTGATTGTAAGAAGAAAACCACAAAACCACTTGAGAGAAGTGAGAGAGCAATCGTTGACACCAATGGAATCATGGTTTTTGGAACAAGGATTTTGGATGAAGAAGTTTTTGAGGTAAAAATAAATCAAACTTTATCTTAAGCTGAATATGGTTAATCAGATGAACTGCGTTAATAATAGTAACAATCAATATATGCTATAAGGCAACGTTGAAACCTCTAAAGGGTGACCTACTTTCTTCCCCTGTGGGTGTAGCAGTGATGTTTTCTATTGTTCAGTAAGAGAATGAGTAGACAACGGTGACTGTAACGCCTGGGAAACATTTACAGAGATTGGTTGATTTGAACACAGGCATGCTATTCTCCTGGGAAGGGCAAATGGCTTTGCTCTTAGTACTTTGTATTGTTTTTATTGGAGAAAAGAACATTTTCTTCACTTCCTTCACTGGGAGATTAATTTAGAGAAATGTGCAAGTCAGATATTCTGCCTTTCTCTGTTCTTTGTGAATGTTTCCAACATGAAATAGAGATCATATTGCAAAAGATGAACTTTAAGTTTTTAAAATCACATTTTTAATAATGTGAAGGTCGTGGTAAAAAGCTTCCTTCTAATTATAATTCACCAATTATGATAATCACATTCTTTCTTTTAATCCTTCAAACATTGGACCTAGTAACTCGTGCTTTAATTTTCATTTAGTCAGTTATTAACAGAACAAACAGATCTAGGTCCTGACCCCCAAAAAGGATGCACTCCTGAGACATTATTCATTACTCTGATGATTGTTTTTATACAATTTCTGAGTAATTTATTTTTCAAAGTGTAACAAAGTAAAGCTGTGTAATATATTACAGATTAATAGACAAGTTTTATATGGAAGATTTGCTGTATTTTGTTGATGTGTGAATATGTATATACACACACATATGTACACACATACATATACTCACACATACACACAGACAGTATGTATTTTCATAAAAAGAACAGTGTAAATTCAAAGTGTCAATAGAATATAGCATTCTTGTACTTATATACACAACCTATGGCATACTTTTAAATATAGTTAACATTTGTGACATTTTCAGATTGTTTATTTGGGTCTGTTTGTTTCTGATTTTCTCAGCTAGTGTGTACCCAAGGCTTTGACTCTGAACAGAATGTTTTAATACATTATATCATACCAAATTAAATGGTAAACTGATTCAGGCAATATATAATAATCTACTCTTAGATGTTCCAATATCATACACTGATTGCACACAAATGGTAATAAATAAATATTTATTTATTAGATGAGTGAATATTGTAAACAAATTAATTTCTAGTCTTGCATAGTTCTATTTTAAAATTAAATTATTTATGAACATCAGTTTCATAGGCTAAATTTATTTTTGTAATGCACTCAGCCTTATTTTCCAGGAATATAAATGTGTAATATGGAAGAAGTATATCAGTGGATGGTTTCATTTCATATATTAGTTTAATCTATTGCTATGTATAGTCACAGAACCTATGGAAGTTAAATAATGGAAATTAAGAGTAGATTTTGTTCATCATAAATGATTAGAATATATAAATAGGAAATATACAAGAGAAAAAAATTAATTCAAATAATGAATTAATTAATTAATTTTAATTCTCAAAATTTGCTGGCCAGGGAAGATACAATTTGGTAAATGTACACGTTGATTAGATTTCTTTTTCATACAGTTTCATAGCATCTAGACTTCTGTTTCTACCTGAACTTACTTCTAGGTTAATATCATTTAATTTTTTCTTTTACTCTCCCCCACCGTTCCCACACAAAGGCCATACTCCATCTTCTTTCGTATATGCTACACTCATGTTCACTGGGGTCCAGTTCAGAGTTTTTGAGGCGTAGTTTCAGACTATCACAGTAAATTCTTTTTTCAAGATAAATAATTGAACTTGATGTTACATATTTAAAAATATGTAAAAAAAGCCTCTGTGTTTCATAGGCTGATTACAGTATCAACTCCTAGAATCATACAAGTAATTTCCCTAAAATATTTCTGTATGTTTTCAACTACTGCTAACCAAAATACCTTTGGCCTAAAGGCTTCTAGTAAATTACCAAAGACAGAGGTACTGGAAGCAAAGATTATTGTTATTTTCTTTGATTAATTCTTAGCTTTTTAATTGCATAAACCATATTCTAAATCCTGAAGTAACTCCAGCTGTTTATTGGGAAAAACCATTAAGAAAAATAATCTTTATAAGATTCATTAGTGAAACCTTTAGTGAGTATGACAGTGAGTAGCAAAAATAAGCTTATTAAACTGCTTTGCATCTTGGAGTTTCATGAAACTCTATGGAGCTTTAAACATAACAATTATTTAGGATGAAGTATAATTAGTTTTGAAAAAGTAAATGAATGCAGAATCTTCACTCTCAGGTTTATCTTGTACTATCTTTGACCAATTAAATAGAAAAACAATTTTTATTTAATAAAATATTGAGAGGGCTTTAGAACAAAAATCTTTGAATGGGATGAAGTTTTGTCTTTATCTAATTCACGTATCCAAACAGTCATCATACATAAAATTCAGGTCTTATTTCCTAAATTTTATTATTTTGTGGGTATATGAAATTTGAAAAACTATTTAGTCTTTCCCACTTAAAAAAAGAACATGAAGAAAATGAATGATTCAAACACCCAGGTTTTTAAATCAGAATAAAATTTTATGACTCCCTTTGTGAAATTAGTTCATTTTGTCTGAATATGATGTTGAGATATCTTTTTCTAAAAATTTACTCAAATATTTTTCCTTTCATTTTGGTTTACATTATGGTACCTATATAGACTTTTAAATCTTTGCAACTGAATGTGTCGAAATTAAACTAGAAATGACAAGAGAGAGGATGGTACCATGAGGCATTAATTTAGTGTTTGATAAATAATTGTAGTGATGAAAATGATATAAAAACACCAGTGATTCATTAGTCTGAAAGCTGGGTATGTCACTTCTTTGGAAATAGTGTCATTGCAATTTAGATGCAAATTTGTTTGGTGTATGTAATTTCATCTATATACTCTCCTCCATTTATGGAATGGTATTATTATGGCAAAAAATACCAAACATGGCCATATTTGAATTGAAATCTGAAGACTTTTAAGAATTCAACATTAAACCTATAAAAGCAAGACTGAAAATGTTTTCAAAAGTGTGACAAATTAGTTTATGACACAATGCCGAAATGAATATATAGACCCATAATTCAGATTATATAATTTCAGCATAGCAGAGTAAATATAAGAATTGATTCTGGAATGAGAAAAATCTAATTTTGAATCCCAGCATCTAGCTTAATCATGTTTCTCTGTGTAATTACTTTATGTAAGTTTTAATTTCTCATTCTTCAAATGGGAATAGTGCTCATAAGCACTTATTAAAAAAAAGATCTTATGTCAAGTGCTTAAAATACTAGTATTAATTATATATATGTGTTTAATTATGCATAAGTATGTCATTTTCTTAATTATTATTGTAACTTCTGTTCTTTTTTATTATCTTACAACTATGACATTTCAAATATTCTTATTGATACGGATAGCAACAGTGACCCATATATCAGTCAAAAATCCTAAGTGGTCTCTTTGTCTTGTAAATAGAGTACTTCTTGCCTGGGCTACTGCTTGTTTACAAGGTACCTTGTGGAGATTAAATAAATTTGCCCTCTAGATTAGAGGTAGCCCCTGGGTACAGACGTTAGTGAGTGGAACATGGTCTGAGTGGATGAATACTTTCATTCAGGCACAAAATTTTCAACCAACCCTAATCAACAGCCTTGGTTTCTTCTAGCTCGATAATGCACTTCAAAGATGTGAAGAAAATCTAAATTAGAAGAAGAACCACATTGCCTGTATTCATTATTAATAAAATTACTTTTGGGGTCTTTTAAATAGGAAATTTCTTTACTAAATATCAAGTTGCAGCCATTATAACTTAAGTTTTCAAAGCATTGCTATTTCAATCTTTTTTCTCTTTTAATGAATCAAAGCAGGTTAGTACAATTCTTTTATATTTTTGACAATTAACTGTCTTGGGGAAGATTATTTCTTTCTTTCGAAGCAATGAGGGGAATATGATGGCAATTTGAGTGGAAAAACTTACTGATGAAATTTTTCAGTTTTTCACACTTCTCAGAAAAGATTTTTGCATTCAATTTGCCTTGGAGAAATCAGTGAATAATAATTTGTAAAAGCTACGCTACTTCAGTAGGTCTACAAGGCCTGAAAACTTACCTTAAAGTAATAATAGCAGTCTCAAATATTCCCTTAAGAATTTAATTACTGCTTTGTGATGTCTGTGTATCTTTTTACTGCATATATTTTCTAAGGTACATTTAAAAAAAAAATTATATCTTAGCAGACATGGTTTTCCTATAAAACGGCGTAATAGGATGAGGTGGGTTTCTGATTTACCCACCTTTCCCTGTCTAGATACATTTAGTTAATAGCCTTTTGGATTTTTTTCTCTATTTATTGAGGTATAATTGAAGTATAACAAACTGCAAACATTAAAAGTGTACCATTTGATCAGTTGTGACATATGTATACACCTTTAAAACCATCATCATAATCAAGAAAGTAAGCATTGCCATTACACCCAAAAGTTTCCTCATGCACTTTTATAATCCATCTCTTCTTCCACCCTAACCCCAGGCAATCACTAATTTACTTTTTACCGAGATAGCTTGTTTATTTTTTCTAGAATTTAAAAAAATGGAATCATAGTGAATGCACTCTCTTTAGCTTGGCTTTTTTCACCCAGCATAATGTTTTTGAGACTTATCTATGTCTTCATAGTGTATCATTATTTTGCTTTTTTTTTATTGCTGAGCAGTCCAATCTATGGATAAACCACTATTTGTTCGTCTGTTTGCTGTCTTAGTGAGCATTTGGATTGTTTCCAGATTTTGGCAACTGTGTATAATGCTGCTATGAATATTCATTTATAAATTTTGTGTGAGCTTTTATTTTTGTTTTAGTTAAATACCTAGAAGTGGAATGTCTGCGTTATTTGGTAGGTGCATGTTTAACTTAAAAAAAACAAAAAACTGTCAAACTGTGTCCCAAAGTGGCATTA